AGAAAAGCTTCATTGTAGCTTATGGTTTGTAGGTGTTTCAGTTCATAGTTGGCAAGTTCCAAGCAGGGAGGCACAGCAGAGAGGCATCACAGCAGAGAAACTGTTTATGAGAGGCAGAAGATAGCAAGACAGAAAGCATCAAAGTAGTGCAACAGCAAGCAACAAGCAGTAAGATACAGCAGCAGACCTCTTTCTGTCCCTTATATTCCATCCAAGGTGGGGCGGCCTTAATCCCAGCATTGGAGCATGAATCAATCCCACCATCACATCCTTAATCCTAGCATCACACACTCTATAACCACCACTCTGAAAAATCCCACTTATGACCACCTAGACCCTCTCCATGGTGCCACTCATGGGAAGCCCAAGTCCTCCTGATCAAGGCCATTGTTATGGCTTGTGTCTAGATGCCCTCCCTCAAAGCTTCATGCAGTCATAGATGGAGCTTTTTCAGAGGTGGCTGTATCTAGAGTGTGTGACACTAGGATTGACTCATGGTTCAATGCTACAAAATCAAGGGCACTAGGATTAAGGATGTGAGCTCTACACATCCTCAATAGCCTGGATAAGATATATATAAGGGTTATAAAGAGTTGTGGTCATCTCTTGCGTGACTGCTCTTGCTGTCTTCTCCCACCACAGACTGTTTTTACTCTGTGATGCCCTCTGCCAAGCCACCCTGCCTTAGACCCAGAGGATTATGGACCGAAACCTCTATCTGTAAACTAAGCAAACTTTTCCTCTCCTAACTCTGTGTATCAGATATTTTGCCTCAGCAATGAGAAAAGTAACTAAAACACTCATGGATGGTGTGAGGCTAGTAGTGGCACTCAGTGCACTGGACCCAAGTCTTCCTAAAGTTGGGTTGCTTGAGAATGCAGCCCAAACTGGGTGGTAAACTCCATTTAACAGGATGCAGAAAATGTGTTTGAGGGAACTGAAGATAGAAGATCTACCTTAGAAAGGCTTGTCACCTAAATGGTACAAAAGGAAAACAAATCACTTGTTTCTTCAGAAGAGCTCCAGTTGTCACCTTCACCTTGGACATTGTCTTCAGCCTTCAAGCACATAATCTTCAGCCTCTGGCATAGATCCCTCAGCCTTCCTTTGCAGACCCTTTAGTCTCCTAACAGGGACTCACTCAGGACACCATAGTGTGCTCCAGGTCTTTGACTGTGTCTTTCAGGATTTCTAACCTGCAGATAGACCTTTTGCACTCTTCCATATCTGACTCTGTGGGCAGCCACTGTAGGCCAATCTTGGAAATCTTTATACATGTGTATATCTTGTATTAACTCTGCTTCTCTAGTATGCATTGCTGATACAGTTGGTTATATAATAAGGATATGCTTGTCATCACAACAAACTGTCAGGCTCTTTTCCCACAACCAGTATGTGAGATATTCAGTTTCTCTGTGTCCCTTTAAATACTTGCTATAATCAGTAGTTTTAATTTCAGCCATTCTGTTAGCTTAAAGCTATCTGTCCCAAGCCTAGTTTTTATTTAAGGCTCAAAGCCAGCTGGCTTCTTCATTCCAACCTTCATTCCATTTCTGACCCAAGATCCACACCCTACCCCAGGTTTATAAACAGTTGCCCACCTCTCAGTGTAGGCTGAAGTCTCTACTTCAGACTCCAGTGTACTGCTATATTTGTATTAATAAATATTTCTGCCTCAGCTGGTCATTGCTGACTCTTAATTCTACCTAAGCTTGATGCAAAACCCTAGGAGGTCTTCATGAGGCCACTGATCCCTCAGACCACTTTGGCCACTCCAGTCCTTTCATACAACACCAGCCATTCTCTCCAATCCAGGCAGTCATCTCCTTGGAGTAGGGGGAGTCTCTGGATTTCCTCTGGAAGAGCTCACTGCTTTCTTCTGTCTGCCCAACACTAGGTCTTGATCTTCCCTAGCCTGGGGAACTGTGCCCTTGGGCTGGCTCCTCAGGTGACAGAAGACATGGGTCTCCTACTGATGCCCACCCTTATGATGAGATTACTCAGAGATAGGTGGACACCTGTGTCTGTGATTTTCTCTTCCTTTTGCCTTGAGACCTCACCCACTGTTATGAGCAACTCCAATTTAACCCTTCAATCACCCAATGTCACACCTTTGTTCTGTCTCCTTAAAGTTCTAAAAACCTTCTATGTGGAGTGACATGAAAGCCAAAAACAACAACAACAAAAAAGCTTATTCTCTTCTGTAACATGGTTTAATAGATAATAGTCAACAGGCTAAAAGCAGGATCTTCAACTTCTAAATACACGAGACATAAACAGAAGCATCCACCCCAATGACAAGTGGTCCAAAGATCCTTGTGTGTAGGTTTTCTTTTACCTTCTCCATTAATTCCCTATCAAACCTGTACAACTTTCTGAATGACCCTTCTTCACCATCACCTAGACTTGACTGTAATTTGGACCTTAAACCTGAATTTGATGCTGCTGACCACACACCCCACCATCATATGCCCCTCAAACCTTGGCCCCTTCTTCGCCTCCACCATCAGAGGTCTCCTCCTATTCTACCTCCCTCCTTCTTTGGCCCTCTTTTCTCTCCTCACTACACACTCTCTCCCGCATCAAATTCTTACTAAACCAGAACCTTGGCTGGCCTCCACCCTCCCCTTCCTGTAGCTGGTGGCAGGGGCAGAGAATATTAACCACATCCATGTTCTCTTCTCCCTTTTTGACCTTCCCCAAATTAAAAATGACTGGGCTGGGGGCCAGGAATATATCTCAGTGGCACAGTGCCTGCCTGGCAAGCGTGAGGCCCTGAGTTCAATTCCCAGCACTCACACACACACACACACACACACACACACACACACACACAAAATGACCAGGTTTCATGCACCCTCAGATCCCAGTCCAGCTTCCTGTCTGTCTCCCCACAAGATAACCCTTCTTTCAGTCTCTGCCCGGCTCCATACTCTGATACCCTTTCTTATTAGTATAGATCTATACTGTTAAAATAACATAAATATTGCAAGAGCTCTCTATTGTGAGTCACCTAAAAGTAATACTATTGTATACCCTACAGAGATCATCGTCTTTGTGTCTCATCTGATTGTCTGTCTGTTAATCTGCATTCATAATCAGCATTCAGTGGCTGAAAAAGTAGCTGCCTGAACTAGTTTACTTCCGTTTTCTCCATGATGGGTGGCTTCTCCATTTTCCTCAGGATCCTCAACCCCTGAGATTAGCAGAAGTGCTATTATCTGTTAGTAAACAATGCAACTTTTTAAAATTCTGCACATATAAGATTATGGTGGCCATGGGCTGCCTTCCACCCATACCATGGCAACAACAACAGAGACCAAACTCCAGTCTCCATGCCCACACCAAGTAAATACAGGGGGAAAAACTGAAATAAAACAAAATATTGATCCCAAGGTAAAATACTGCCAAGAAGATAAAGATTTTTCAAAAAAGAGTCTAAGCCACCAGACTGAGCTCAAGCTGGAATCTAAACTCACATTAGTATAGAGAATAAGTCAAGCTTATTATAAAGTCAAATGTGAGGTAAAAAGTAGCTCGTGGGTTACATATACCCTAAACTGGATTCTGACAAATAACGATCTATGATTGATTTCAGTATCATGATGGCAAAAAACAGAACAACCTTCCTGACCACCCATAAAAAGGTAATGAGAGCCCATATAAAAAATCCTAACTGACTGGTAAATCTATTTCAAATTCTGTGGTTTATACTAATATTTTTGTCAGATAAATGTGCCTAAAATATTTTTAATTTGTTTATTGGTACCATTTAGGTATACACAATGATCACATTCATCATAGGGAATTTGTACCTGCACATAATATACTTTGATTTGCCTTTTTTAAAACTATAAATGGCTTTGGGATGATTCTTGAATTACAATCACAGGGTTGACTTACTACTAATTTGTCATTCAAAATCATGTAATATCTTAAACAGTCGTTAGTCCTAGCTAAAAGGTAGCATCTCTGCTCTTCTTTCTATTTTTCTGCTGGTACTAAGATAATTTGCTGTTCAAATTTACTTAAATGTCTATTATTCAGCCAGCTCTAATGAAAATGTAACATCTATGAGTTAGGGTTAGGGTTAGGGTTAGCGTTAGGTTTAGGGTTAACTCTGAGACTAAAAAAAATATGCCACGAACATTTTAAAATCCAAGGGGCTACTTAGGCTGGTTACAAAAAGAAACCAGTAAGTAGGATAGAGAAGAAACATTTTTAAAGTTGTAAAGATGGGGAGGAGACAACATGGCTGAATAGAGGAAGAGTCTGGTTCAGAGCTATTCAGAGAAATTCAACTTAAACGCAGGTAATTGGAAGAAAGGGGAGGATCATATACACTGAAATCAAAATCAACCTCAAATAAAAGACTTCTAAATCAAGCAAAACATAAAGGACTTAGTGAAACAGCCAACCAGTCCACCCAACTGCCGTTGAGTTCCTGGATCAGGACAATTGCTCACCATACTTGGCATCTAAAAAGGGGGGGGGGGGGGAGGGAAGGAGGAGGGGGAGGTGGGAGGAGGGGGAGAGGAAGAATGTGACTAAATCAAGCCATACAGGATAGATCTAAGATATAAAGTCCCTGTCTCTTCTGCCTCTCCCTCCCCCACCGCAGTCTGTGGCTGTCTGTCCACATGGACACTTAATCTCTTTGCTCTGTCCCTGGGCCCCATCCATTCTACCGCAAGTGTAGGCCCTGGAGGTGACAGAGCGGTATGTGTGTGTCCATGTGGGCTTTCTTGTGAGTCCTGTGCTTGTCCCCGCTGTCTCTGCATACATACCTGGCTCCCCCACATCTGCATCTTCCCATGCCTTCTGCATACTCCATATTGTGGATGTTCCACACATGCTCCTGTCTCTGACGCTGTGTATCCTCTGAGATATGAGCACTGCCTGCCTTGGCATCCTCGTGGGCAGCCCTTCTGCATGTCTGCCTCCCCTGTAAGTGAGCCCAGCGAATGAGCTGGAGAATGTGGCAAACGGTGGGCAATAAGATGCCAGCCCCAGATGTGTCCATGATGAAGGCCCTCAGCCTGCCTTGGCTGGATTACCATGTTCTCGTCTTGGACCTGGAGAAGATTCTGTTGAAGGTGGCCAGAGAGGCTGGGCCAGGGTCAGCCTGTGGAGCAGCTCAGGTGCCCTCTGCTTGTCTGGCCTGGAGAGTGTTGCCCTGTGCAGAGCAGTGGGCTTTAGGAGCCACGGTGCTGTTAGGTTTTTGGGTGGATAAGGGTGGGGCAGAGGAGAAATGAAGCACTCCCTAAAGACCTTGACCTGCCATTCTTCCCCAGCTCTGGAACTCAGCCCCCAATTCTCTTTTCTGGCAGGCCCTTCAGAAGGCCCTGGCCCAGCTGGAAGCTGTGGCCTCAGAGCAGAGCCTGCTCTTGGGGGAGGGGTGTTTGCTCGTTGCCAAGCACCCAGGTTCCGGCCTCCAGCAGTGGCCACAGATACGCTGCAGGCATTGTCCCTACTTTCCTGGCTGCTCCTGCTGGCAAAACCTGCTCCTACTCTTACCTGGTCACGGCCCCTCTGGTACCAGTTGAAACTGGACTTACAGCCCTGGGGGTGTGAGCCAAACAACCCGGAGGCCTGTGGGAGCACCCTGGGCTGTCCTGGCTACTGGACAAGCCTGGGAGGGAACCGCATCTACCCTGTGGCTGGGGCCATGATCACCACCACCATGATGCTGGTGATGGGTCGTCCAATGCTGCACCGGTGGCGTTCACAGGTGACCATGGGTGGGGAGCACGGATGGCTTGTCCTCAGTACCTGCCTCCATTCGAGTCCACTGGGCCCGTAGCATTCCCCAGCCCTTCCCAGCAGCTTGTCTGCGGCTCTGTGGGCCTCCTGCCTGACCACTTCCTGTCCTGCACCTTATTGTTCCTGCATCTGCCCACAGGTCTCCACGGCTACAAGCTGTCCATTCCTGACCAGTCCCTATAGCTGTCCTCCTCCTCCAGCAACCCTTTGGAGCCCCGTTCCTCATCCAGCCCACTGGGCCCCGTGACTGCCCTAGTCCATGGCAAGCCCTCAGTGCTCATCTCCGGTCTCTTTTCCTAGCCCTTGGCCACTGCCCTGTAGCCCTACACCCTTCTACTAGCTCTGCCGCCACCCCCTCCACTCACTCCCATCTCTTCATCTGATTCTCAGCACCCACAGGTGAGCACTAGCACCTCTGGAGCCTCGAGACGGCAGGTCCCAATCTCAGACCGCACCCTGCTCCTCAGGGTCCTGCACATGCTGGATGCCCTCCTGTCCCACATAGAGGGAAACCTGCAGCACCTGGCCACTCGGCAGTGCAAATAAAGGAGACTTTATCCAGTTGACCTGATGCATGTGTCTTTCTGTTGGCCAGGTGCAGGAAGCCAGAGTCCCTCTCTGTGAGGAGTCATCAACCCAGGGGGGATCACATGTGTGAAAGAAAAAGAGCCTCACGCTCAGGCCCCACAGTTGTCACTTCTGGGCTAGGGAGCAGAGGAGTAGCTCCAGAGGGCAAGGGCGACAGAAAAAAAGAGGGGCCATACTGATGTGGCAAGTGATTTATGAGACAGGAACCCCAAAGCGAGCATTGGCTCACCTATGTGTACCTCTGAGGATTGAAGTGGCTGGTGGTAGATGGAGGCCAGTAACAGCGATGGCAGAGGTGGAGAGGAGAGAAAAGGAGAAAAGGTCCATAGGGAAAGGGGATTCGAACCAGCGGCAATCCCTGGGAGTCACATAGTTTTTCTCACTTGAGTCACGGTACCATCTGTTTGGCCCTTTGATGAGAGAGAGAGAGAGAGAGAGAGAGAGAGAGAGAGAGAGAGAGAGAGAGAGAAACAGAGAAAGAAAGAAAAAAGGCCTTTACGCAGGCAGCTCAGGAGGGCTGCCAAGAGATGCATGCATTCTCTGAAGGAAACAAAGAAACCATGATGTGCTTTTATTTGGTTTTGACGGACTGGAGTTGAAGGGGTGGGCAGAATGAGGTATTGAGAGCTGATTGGGAGAGCACTGGTGCACACGTGAAAAGCAGGAGTTCAGGCTAGGGATTTAGCTCAGCAGGCATAATTACCTGCCTGGCAGGTGCAAGGTTGTGAGTTCAATCCCCAGTACAAAAAAAAAAAAAAAAACAGGAGTTCAGTTTTCAGGCTTGTGAGAAGAACTGGAAGCCAGTGCTGAAGGGAGGCACTGTCTAGTGCCGTGTTGACTTGGAAGACTGCACATGGGAAAACTCAGCAACAGCCACTGCTTAACCAACTTGCTTTCTGTGAAAGCTTGGGAAATTTTTCTTCTCCTGGTGGCTCTCCTTAGGCATACTATGTATCATAGATCAGTTTTTTGTGGTCTCACAGAGTTATGGGATGTTACTACAGAGGTTCTCTTATATCCTGGGTCCTCACTGACCTCAGAGGACTAGGGCCTCTGTCCTCCTAACCCATTTATCTTTCTAGTTTTGGGTCTCCAAGGCCCAGTTGTTTAACATCTGGAAGACAAGATTGATAACATTGCAGTGTAATAGGGCACTAGCTTAACATTATTACTACCTTATCTGAATTTCACACACCTTTAACATAAAAAAGAACCATTATTTTTTTATCAACCACGGATGTCTTAGTATTTAGATCCCTGTAGAATGTTAACAGTTACATATTTTACATACAAAATTAGAAATCAAAGCCCTACATAATATTATAGTGTGACAGTTATGACATTTTGTAACACATTGAATTTCCATTCTGACGTAAAATATCCCTTTTAGTCAATCATCCCTATCTAATACATGGAAAGCTTTTACCTAACTTGTTGACCTGTAGTGGGATGTACATCGCTGTCATGGTTTATGTCTGTGGCCCCCAGAGCTCAGAGCTCATGAGTTTGCATTGTGCATTTGTGATTGGTTCATTGTCTAGTGCTTGGATTGATGGTGTCAGTGCTCCACCCACATAGGGGTGGAGCCAGGATGTGATGTAATGACAGGAAGAAGGTGTGTCTTGCTCTTTGCTGGTTCCTGCTTGCTGTTTGCAGCCACCATGAACTGCGGCCCAGCCATGCCCACCTGCCTTGGAGCCAACTGAGTATGGATTAAAACTTCCAAAAACTGTAAGAAATAAACCTTTCCTTTCCCAACCTGGGCTTCAGGTATTTTGTCTCAGCAATGAGTAAAAGAGTAACTAAGACAATCACATAAGTTTCTGCTAAAGGCAGAGGTCTGAATCTAAAAGAAAATCTATCATTATAAACAATCCTGTTTCACCTTTTGCGAGATCTGTAAATCTAGAGGCATGGATACTTTTAATAAAACACAAGAACAGCAATAGTCAATTGTCACAGCCATATGAAAACCTTGATTAAATTTGGCTTTATATCAAGAGCATCTTTTATGAGAAAAAACTTATTATATTACTGTTAGAAAACTTAACCTTTTGATTATGACCAGTGGAAACATCACAATAATATTTTTCACAATATTATTAGGGTGTCACCCATAAGGCTATGGAGGTGGGGGCCTCCCATTAATGAAATTTGCAGGCAGTTTCTTTATTCATCAAAAGGGAATCCTGTCTAATGGTCTTTCCATACCCTAAAGGATTTTTATCTTAATAAATTTTTTGGTGACTTATGAAAACCCAATCACATTTAATATGTTATTTTTGAACAATAAGAGACTCTCAGATCGTGATACATAAACAACGGTATCCATTAAATTTACATAACCTAGTAAAGCATCATTGTGACCAGCTGGCAACTCAGGTAAAAGTATGCTTTTAGATCTATAAATCATACTAAATTTTGAACAAATGACCAAAAAAAATGCAAAAGAAGAAAAATGTTGAACTCAAATTAATAAAAATAGTTGTTTAGGGATATGACAAACAAAAAAATACACAGATGATCTGTACAGACTGGATAGATATAAGAGACAAATAAACAGTTTACCAGACAAACACCTTAAAAAAAGTTAGAGTATACTCAAATATATTTGGCCAATTTGAATTATAATGACTCTTTTATAGTTTTTACATTTGTCAGAACTTTTTTGTGGGTCAATTAACAGAGATCTCTTGCAGTAAGAATCAGAAGGAATAAAACCTTTTATACCTGTGAAAGCAAAGACAGTAATTAAATAAAGAAAACTATTAGGCTGACAGTTCATCTGATTGGAATATCCAAATTGCAGTTTTGATAGCCACATGCAAGGACTAATAGGCAGATAAACTTGGACAAAAACTTGCACATCTATTTTTCAGAGCTACAGGATTACCTTTAGACTTTTTTTTAGTATAACCCAGAGATATGTGAAAATTTGTGTCACTCTGGAAGGGCCCAAAGACAGGAAAACTTACCATTCTGGAAATTTGTCCTTAAGTTAAGCAGCCATGGAGGAGAGAATTGCCTAGGATTAAACACTGCTCTGTGTTGTTATTTCTCGGGACCAGGGCAGCGGAGAAGTAGCAGAACAACTTCATGTAGGGCACAAGCATCAAATTCTAACCATCTCAGGTGCAAAAAAATAAATAAGATGGAGAGCTTTTCCAGGCTGAATCTATAATTCTTAGCAAAACATGTCTCTAGAAACAGAGATTATGGTCGACTCCAGCTACACTGTCAAACAGAAAAATCAATAATCAAAGAATCTGAATGGCTGTTTTTAACACTGGAATGAGAGGGAAAGAAAATGAAAACATTCCAATTCTATCCTTTAGGGCTATGGTGGGTCGATAGCCAGCAGCAGCGTCCACTAACAATGGGTATGCTCCCACCAACTGGTCCTGAAGTGAAGCTTGCCTTGCTGTTCAAGGCCTTTTAGCGTTGGCGGCGGGGAGGGTCTGCTGTAAAATTCCACAAGAAACAGGAGGCCATTTGTTTTTTGCACAGTTTGTCCCTCTGGAACATGTTTACCTCAGTTTCCAGGTCAGTTTTCAGGACAGTTGTTTACTCAAAGACCTAGTTTCAGTATGACCTAGTTTCAGCAAGACCCTAACCCCAAAATTTAGTCACAGTTCAACATGACAGCGATTGTGCTAAGCAGACCAGTTTTATAGTGTTATGAAACTTAACCTATAACAAGGTTTAATTTCTTAACCTGATTTGTTTTAGATCACAGAGAGAAAAAGACACATAAACATGGAGAGTTCTAAATTCCCTACTTACTTTCTACAAGGGATATTGTCCTTGAGAAGCTTGGACAAAATCAGCTACAAATGAGTACAACCTGATGAAGGCGAGGGTTTCAGTTATGGCTGGCCAAGAAGCTCCATCCTCAAGATGCAAGTAGGGGAAGCCCCAGACTCTATAACAGCGGCTGAAGCTTTGATTAAAATTGTCTAAGAAACCTCTACTCAGGTTCTACAGGTCAAGGAAAAGTAGCCTCAGACTCGGTGATAGTGGATGCCTTAAGGGCCAGAGGTATCTGGTTTTCCTTAGGCTCACATTTATACTTGAAAACAAGGGATTATTTCCTTAGTACAAAGTCCGAACTTGAAGCAATTTTTATAGTATAATTCTAGTTGTGAAATAGCACCACAATCAATATTTCTCTTTATATTAACAATGATTTTTAAAAAGGAAGCAATTCTTCATATTGAGATGCAGACATTGACCAGGACAACATGTGAATCTAGGGTAAATGTCCCTGAGCTCAATGATTTGCCATGGTTTTAATTTTTTAAGTGGTTTAAATCAAACAATATCCAGGAACAAGTTAATTTTGATTACTAAGATCATGCTTAACCACCAATGGAAAACAGCAACAGCCCTTCGGTGTTTGGACACACAAGGTTTAAAACATTTTAAATAGTCTGGGGGCACAGGCCAAGGAACATCAAAAGCTCCATGTGGATCTGGGTCTGAGCCAGGGCACAGTGGGTGGCCTTTTATTTATTTATTTATTTATTTATTTATTTTTCTCCCTATTTCTGCTCTAAAACAAAAACTTTGAGGGCACTAGTACTTAACAGACCTATTAACATTTTACCAAGATCTAAGGTGAAAAAAATCTCAGGAGAAACAGCTTCCCCACTGCCATGAGCTCTGCTGTAAAATTTCTCCCACCTTATCACAATTTTGAATATCCAAGGTTCCTGCCTGCAGAAACCACAAATTATATTTAACTTTTTGGTCAAGATGTGAGTGCTGATTTGAGCTCTGGCCTACTTCGGCAACATAAACAGTAAAGACAAATATCTTTGTTCTTTTACTGACAAATTCTGCCCCATTATCCTAACTAACTGAAAACTTGGCACTGCACCAAGTGCTTGACCTTCCACCGGCTCTTTGGACGCCCCTGGCTTCATCCCATGGAGTCTTATTGCCATCTAGTATCCTCTTCTTCCCACTAGGGAGG